ATGAAAAGACCAGAGCTAAACAGAAAATCTGACTTTCAAATACAGGACTCCAGTGGAACATGAAGAGGTAAACAGGAAAGAGAAGTCATAAGAGACTTATTAAGATTGAACTGTTTACATTCCTGCATGGAAAGATGATATTTGTAACTCACGAGAACTTTGTCAGCATTACAGTAGTTGAAAGAAAAAAATTGTATGTATGTATATATAGATAGGTAGATAGAGGGCACAGGGTGAGTTGAAGATTAAGGGGTCATATCTGGAGAATAAAATTAAGGGATGAGAGAGGATGATACTCAGAGAAGAAAGGGAGATGCAGAATGGGGTAAATTATCTCACAAAAAAAAAACAGAAAAGAAAAGTCTCTCACAGTGGAGGGGAAACAGGGGAAGGTGAGAGGGAATGAGGTAATTTTATTCTCATAGGATTTGGCATAAGGAGAGAATAACATACACATTCAATTGGGTATGGAAATCTGTCTTACCCTACAGGAAAATAGGGGGAGAAGGGGACAAGAGAGCAGGGGGGTGATAGAGAGGAGGGCAGATTGGGAAAGAGGGTAATCAGAAGCAAATACTTCTGAGGAGGGACAGGGTCAAAAGAAAGAATAGAATAAATGGGAGGGCAGGATAGGATGAAGGGAAATAGAGTTAGTTTTTCACAACATGTCTCCTAAGGAAGTGTTTTGCATAACTGCACATGTACAACCTATATTGAGTTGCTTGCCTTTTCAATGAGGGTGGGTGGGGAGGGAGGAAGGGAAAAAATTTGGAACCCAAAGTTTTAAAAACACATGTTTTTAAAAAAAATGTTTTCACATGCAACTGGGAAATAAGAAATACAGGAAATGGGGTACAGAAGTCTATCCTGCTCTACAGGAAAATAGAAGGGGAAGGGGATAAGAGAAGGGAGGGGGGAGAGATAGAAGAGAAGGCAGACCAGGGGAAGGGGTATTCAGAATGCATGCCATCTTGGGTGGGGTGAGGGGTGAGAAATTTGGAACTCAAAAACTTATGGAAGTGAATATTGAAAACTAAAAATAAATAAATTTATATTAAAATAAATAAATTAATAATTTTTTTAAAAAAAAGATTATGCTACAAATATGTTCCCCAAAGTAGGATAGTCCAAGAATGAAAATGCAAAGGAATCAAATCACGACCATCTTCCCATTATGCAGTATCTTGCTAAGGGAATGTTTTAGCAGTTTTAGTCTAAGTTAATACGCCATAGGATGGTACCTTGAAGATATTTTAGGAATTTTTCTACTTTTCCCCAAAGGCAAACTCTGTTAAGATGTATGTAAAGCCAAGCTGGCATATTCAGGAACCACATGATTCTGATATAAGATGAGGGTAGTCATAGTGCAGTGAAAATGTGCTGACCACAACTTATCACAAGAATAATACACTACGACCAGGTAGGATTCATACCAGGTATGCAGGGCTGGTTCAATATTAGGAAAACTATCAGCATAACACCAAAACTAACAGAAACCACATGATCATCTCAATAGATGCAGAAAAAGCTTTTGACAAAATACAACACCCATTCGTATTAAAAACACTAGAAAGCATAGGTATAAATGGAGTCTTCCTTAAAATAATAAATAGCATCTACCTAAAATCTTCAACAAGCATTATATGTAATAGGGACAAGTTAGAAGCATTTCCAAAAAGATCAGGGATGAAACAAAGATGTTCATTATCACCACTGTTGTTCAATATCGTAGCGGAAACGTTAGCTTTAGCAATAAGAGAAGAAAAAGAAATTGAAGGTAATTAGAACAGGCAAAGAAGAAACAAAGCTATCACTTTTTGCAGATGACATGATGATATATTTAGAGTATCCTAGAGAATGAAGTAAAAAACTACTTGAAATAATAAACAACTTTAGCAAAGTTGCAGGCTATAAAATTAACCCACATAAATCATTGACATTTCTATGTATTACCAACAAAGCCCAAAAGCAAGAGATAGAAAGAGAAATTCCATTTAAACTTATTGTAGACATTATAAAATATTTAGAAGTCTACCTCCCGAAACAAACCCAGGAACTCTATAAACACTTACAAAACACTTTTCACACAAATAAAATCAGATCTAAATGATTGGAAAAACATCAGTTGCTCATGGGTGGGCTGAGCTAATATAATAAAAATGACAATTCTACCTAAGCCAATTTACTTATTCGGTGCCATATCAATCAAACTACCAAAAAATTATTTTATAGAGTTAGAAAAAATAACAAGAAGATTCATTTGGAAGAATGAAAGGTCCAGAATATTGCAGGAAATAATGAAAAGAAATGCAGGGGAAGGTGGCCTAGCAATTCCAGATCTTAAATTGTATTATAAAGCAGCAATCATCAAAACTGCTTGGTACTGGCTAAGAAATAGAATGGTGGATCAGTGGAATAGGTTAAATATGCAAGACACAGTAGTCAATGACTATAGTAATCTATTATTTAATAAACCCAAACACCCCAGCTTCTGGGATAAGAACCCACTCTTTGAAAAAAACTGCTGGGAAAATTGGAAACAAGTATGGCAGAAATTAGGCACAGACCCAAATCTCACACCATATGCCAAAATAAAGTCAAAATGGGTTCATGATTTAGATATAAAGGCTGATAGTATAAGCAAACTGGGAGAGCAAGGAATAGTTTACCTATCAGATCTATGAAGAACAGAAGAATTCATGACCAAACAGGAGATAGAGAACATTACAAAACACAAAATGAATAACTTTGATTACATTAAGTTGAAAAGTTTTTGTACAAACAAAGCCAATGCAACTAAGATTAGAAGGAAGGTAGGAAATTGGGAAAGAATTTTTACAACCAGTCTCTCTGATAAGGGCCTCATTTCTAAAACATATAGAGAATTAAGTCAAATCTATGAGAATATAAGTCATTCCCCAGTTGATAAATGGTCAAAGGATATGAACAGACAATTCTCAGATGAAGAAATAAAAGCCATCTATAGTCATATGAAAAAATGCTCTAAATAATATTGATTAGAGAAATGCAAATTAAAGTAACCCTGAGGTACCACATCACACCTATTAGAATGGCCAACATGACAAAATAGGAAAATGATAAATGCTGGAGATGTGGGAAAAGTGGAACACTAATGCATTGTTGGTGGAGTTGTGAAATGATCCAACCGTTTTGGAGAGCAATTTGGAATTATGCTCAAAGGGCTATTAAAAAAAAATTGACCCAGCAATAGCACTTCTAGGGCTATATCCCCAAAGAGATCATACAAATGGGAAAAGGACCCACACGTACAAAAATATTCATAGCAGCTCTTTTTTGTGGTGGCAAAGAATTAAAAATTGAGAGGATGCCCATCAATTTGGGAATGGCTGAGCAAGTTGTGGTATATGAATGTAATGTAATACCATTATGCTATAAGAAATGATGAACAGGCTGACTTCGGAAAAACTTGCTAAGACTTGTATGGTCTGATGCTGAGAGTGAAATGAGCAGAACCAAGAGAACATTGTACACAATAATAGCCATGCCATACAATGACTAATATTGACAGTCATGTTAATTTATAGTAACCTTGACAGTCTTTTTTTTTTGCTTTTTTTTGGTGAGGCAATAGGGGTTAAGTGACTTGCCCAGGGTCATACAGCTGGTAAGTGTCAAATGTCTCAGGCCGTATTTGAACTCAGGGGTTCCTGACTCCAAGGCCGGAGTTCTATCTACTGCACCACCTAGCTGCCCCTGATGACTAATATTGATAAACTTAACCCTTCTCAGCAATACAAGAACCTAAGACATCTCCAGAGGCCTGGTGATGGAAAATGCTATCCACATCCAAAGAAAGAACTATGGAATTTGAATTGCTATTTTTTTTCTCTTCTATTGAGTTTTGTTTCCTCTTTCTGGTGGTTCCTCCTATTGGTTCTAATTTTTACTTACAACATCACTAACGTGAAAATATGTTTAATAGGGATGTAAATATGTAGTCTATATCAGATCGTGCGCCGTCATGGGGAGGGTAGTGGGGAAGAAGGGGGAGAAAAATTTTAAACTCAAAAGTACATGGAAGTGATTGTTGATAAATCAAAATAAGTTAACAAATTTTTTTTTTTAAAATGTGCTGACCTTGGAGCATCAGGACCCAAGTTAGAAGTCACCCTGGGAGCCAAGTGTTGTGCTCTAAGTGGTATAACTGATAGGGCACTGGACTTAAAGTCCAGAAGACCTGAGTTCAAATTTCTCCTCAAGTACTTACTATTGTTTAATTTTGGACAAGTCATATAACCTCTCCAGATCTCAGTTTCCTAATTTTTAGAATGATATAATTGGACTAGAAACAATCTCATTCCTTCTCCAGGCTCTACTCTGGATTTCCTCTACCATGCCCCAGAAACTTCTCATCCTGGAAGTTCACTCTAGCCCTAGAATTCACACACTGGAAGTCTTCTCAGGCCCCATGACCTCCATTAAAGGAGTAGGCCTATCCAGCCATGTCTCATACCTTTCCAGGCTCCACTCTTTACTTTCTCTATCATTCCCCCTCACCAGCCATCCCTTTCTTCCAATTCTACTTAACATGTTGTCTTTTCTTACTATAAAGTAAGCTTCTTGAGGGTAAGGATTATCTTTCTGTTTCTGTCTGTATTCTCAGCTAATAAGTGCTTGTTGACCGACTGATTTCACTAGAGGAGATAACCTCTAAGGTACTTTTAAGTTCCAGAAATGTTTCTATAATTCTTGTAGACCTTTACCAGAAATATATCAGATTCATGATGTTCAAAAGAGACTATAAGTAACTATACATTATGCTTAATGATATGCTTTATTTACTATTGAGTCCAACTCCTCCTTGTTATGGAGCGACTGAGTTTGTCTTTAATGGCTCCCCATAAAACTCTGAATATGCTAAAGGCAGGGTCAAGGATAAAAAATATAAATAAATGCCAGTCATTATTTCATTTATCTCACTGAAATAACTCAGGGTAGTAAATACAAACTGCACTTACCTTCAAAGGAATTTGCACTCACGTGGATCACACACATGAAAAGTTCATTGTTGATCTAAGAATGAATTGAGAGGAAATAAATGAGGTACTGATTTTGTGATTTTCTCAGTGGTGTGGATACTTCCTCTACCCATGCTGAGCCTGATCCCTTTCACCTCAGAAGAGAAACTCTGAGAGTTGCTGGGACTAATAAATTCATCACCCTGCACCCGAAGTGATGATGATGATGATGATGATGATGATGACAATAACGATAACTGACATTTACATAGCACTTTCTATGTGCCAGGCGCTGCACTAAGTACTTTACAGTTACATCTCATTTGATCCTCACAACCATGGGAGGCAAGTATTCCCATTTTACAGAGGAAGAAACTGAGGCAAACAAAGGTTAAATGACTTGTTAGGGTCACACAACTAGTAAGTGTCTGAGGTCAGATTTGAACTCAGATTCCAGGTCAGCTCTCTATCTACTGTAACCTAGGTGGTCCAGGTAAGATAACACCTCTCCAAAGCAAAGCTAGTCTTCAGATACAATACAGACATAGCACCAGGTACATACTCAAAGCCCATACAAGGCCCTTTTCAGTAAGGCCTCTCAGAACTTTACTTTATAGACACAGCCTTTGAGAGTCACTCCCATTTCATATTAAGGCATTAGAACAGAATTTCAAGTGATTAAATAAATTAAATTAAAAAGAAATCAGTTCATATTACGGACTTATTTGCTTTATTGCCTAGTGTTCACACAAAAATATAGCAAGAAGGAGTGGCCAGGCCATTCTCAGTGCTAGTCCTAACTCTCCAGTTTGGGTGAGGGTGAGAGTGTTCATGAGACGGACATAGAAATATTTAAGTCCCGTGCTTAAAGAGTATCTTTCTGATATCTATCCTGGCATGATTCATGGCCTGTAGTAGGCATTTAAATGCTTGTTGAATGAAGGCATCTGCCCCAAATGCAAATAGACAACCTAAACTCAGATTTTTATCATCTTTCATAAGATTCTGGTTTTATAAGACAGAACAAAAGAATAGAGGTCCAGAACCTTCCCCATGCTTCCTCAGCACATTCCTTCCTAGGGGCTTAGCATCTGGTTCATAGAAACCAGTTCTAAATGTCCCACAGCTCCAAGAAATACAATAGATACTGTAAGTTAATACTCTTATTATTGGGCACTGGAATAACTGGAATCATGTTGACCAAAGTGAAATTAACATCATTATACTCAATATTGACTCAAAAAAGTTACATTAAGCTTACCGGACTATGAGTACCATGAAGTTGTTGGCATCAAATGAAGTTATCAGACTAATTGTTCTATGAGCTCTCTTGGTTATCAAAAAGCATGAAGAGTAATATAGCCAGCATCCTACTTGTTGGAATAGGCTCACATATGCTAATACAATTGTAAATTAATAAAAAGGAAACTGAAACTAAATTCAAGTAATTAAGATGCCCCTGATTCTTTCTAGGAAGATTAGGCAGTTCTGAGATGGCACAAGTCAGTGCTTTAAGCCAAGAATATGTAACTTTAAATAATGCAGTGTTTGGCTGTATAAACCTCTCTCACATAAAAATGACAGCATCTAAATCATTGATCAGCTGGGATAAGAGAAATAAAAATATGGACTAGAGCAGTTTCTTGACAAATATTCCTCACTTGGCTTCAACATTTACTTTTGATGGACAGCTCGACTTTGCCATGACTTTCACTTGACATTTATCTCACAGGAGGAGTCCATTATCCTGTGACAACAATCTATCCATTTAGGTTATCTCACAGCTCATAATTGCTGCCTTCTTGCACCAGAGGGCTTTCTTAACAGTTTTTGTAATTTGTTACATATAGCAGGAAATAGGAAAGTACTTTCAATATGTGGTTGATAATGGAAAATTAGAAATAAATACAACTATAGTGCTTTAAAACTTTTATGTATATACTAAGTACTCTTTAGCGTGTATGTTGGTGGTGGTGGTGGTGGTGGTGGTGTTGAACAACTTAAATGATCAATAACTTCCTAAATGAATACCACTAACTTCACTCCAGTCAAAGAGAAAGTTCATTTTTTTTGAAACCCAGAGAGAACATTTGCCTTATTACTAATATAATGACTTCATCATTTACAATTTAGATGTATTGAAAGTCTCCTTTCTATCTCTACCTCCAAACTGTTTGCTTTTTTTTTTCAGCCTTTCCAATAGCAGATTAGAAAAAGTGAAGCTGGAAGACAAATTCTATAGGAGAACATTCTTTACATAAAGAGATCTAATAAAAACTGAGATTAGACTACCTGATATATTTATGTACATGTGTTTACAAACACATATATTTTGTCCAGATGTGTGATTTCACAAGTATTAAGAATCTCCCAGTAAGGAAAGTGTCTCTACCAATACCGAGAAAAAACTATTTTGGAACTCAGTCCTAGTTATCTAAGGCACTGGAAGGTTAGGTTTAGGCTAGCAGGTTAAAAAGAGAGAAGGAAGGAAGGAAGGAAGGAAGGAAGGAAGGAAGGAAGGAAGGAAGGAAGGAAGGAAGGAAGGAAGGAAGGAAGGAAGGAAGGAAGGAAGGAAGGAGGAGAAGGGGAAAGAGAGGGAAGAGAGGGGAGGAGGAAGAGAAGAGGAAGGGAGGCAGGGAGGAAGGAAAGCTTTGACTGAAGATACTCTGTGCTGTGCTTTCTGGGCAGGGCTATAGCCCTGAGTTTAGTTAAAACAACAACTATAACAACAGAAAATGTACTGGTTGATCCTAGGCATATTTTAGTCAGAGCAATCTCACAAAAGAGCAATAACATATCCTTTATGGAAGATGCACCAGCAGCCAAAGAGGGCTCCAGCTCTTGGTAGCAGGTGAGAGAGAAGAAGCTGAGAAGCAGTTGTGAACAGCAGTTCAGTGGAAAGGAAGCAGCAGATGACAGCAGGATCTTAGCAATAAGCAGCAGCAATGGAGTTTGAGAAGAAAAGCATTCAGGCACTAGTGGTTGCTAAGGTACTGAGCTGACATGAATATTTTCTCCAAGAAAATATTTGGGAGATATTGGAGGGAACAAATTCTGAATAGCAACAGAAAGACAAATACATAACAGAGGTAATGTGCCATGTATGTCACAAGGGACAAGGAGGTCATAATGCAATATGGTTTAACAATAAAGTATGACATCCCCCCAGCAAAATATCATAAAAATGTCTGCGAAAAAACATTAAAATCCCATCAAATTCTACATTCTTCCATGACTTAGAATAATAATAAATTTGTGCCTTCCTGGCAAAAGGTAAATATGGAGGAAATATACATAAAATATACATTAAAAACAACCAATGAATTATAAAATTGAACTACGACCAAGCATAATAACATATTAATTATTATATATTATAATGAATTAACATAATGTGTAAATAACATGTTATATAATATGAAGTGATATTATTCTCTTTAGAAGAGACTGAGAGGTGACTTAGTAAACTCAGTAAATTCAGTATGTATAATATACAATGAGTATCTGTGTGTGTGTGTGTGCGCGCGCGTGCGCACGCGTGCATCTGTGAGCAAAATTTTATTATGCCTTCATCTAAAATGATAGAAACAGGGAATGGATTTTGAATTTAAGATGCAACAGAAGAAACTACTTATTTAGAATAAAAAAAATTCATGACAGAAGTGATAGTTAAATAGTAGAAATGAGATGCTAAGAGTCTATGTAAACTTCTTTTGTACAGACTATTAACTGAATTAACATTTATGCATGGAATTAAGTAACACCTACATAATGGTAGACAACAATTAGTTGACTTCTGCATCTCTCTTACAGTTCTATGACTGTATCACAAAATTCTGAGGACTTAAGATAAATGTAGATACATTAATATTTCAGTGATATTGACACTTGACTTTATTTTATATTTTCACTATTGGTACTAATGAATTTCTTTTTTTTAAATCTTATTAATTTATTTTGATTTATCAACAATCACTTCCATATGCTTTTGAGTTTAAAATTTTTCTCCCCCTTCATTTACATTCCTATTAAACATAGTTTCACATTAGTGAAGTTGTAAGTAAAAATTAAACCCAATAGGAGGAACCATCAGAAAGACTAAACAAAACTCAACAGAAGAGAAAAAAAAATGATAGGGATTCAACCTCCACAGTTTTCTTTGGATTTGGATAGCATTTTCCATCACGAGGCCTCTGCGGATTTCTTAGATCATTGTATTGCTGAGAAGGCTTAAGTTTATCACTATTAGTCATCCCACAACCTGGCTGTTATTGTGTACAAAGTCCTCTTGGTTCTGCTCACTTCACTCAGCATCAGACCATACATGTCTTTCCAGGTTTTTCTGAAGTCAGCTTGTTCATCATTTCTTATAGCACAATAGTATTCCATTACATTCATATACCACAACTTGCTCAGCCATTCCCCAATCGATGGGAATCCTCTCAATTTCCAATTCTTTGGCACCACAAAAAGAGCTGCTATGAATATTTTTCTACATGTGGGTCCTTTTCCCATTTGTTGATCTCTTTGGGATATAGCCCTAGAAGTGCTATTGCTGGATCAAAGGGTATGCACATTTTTATAGCCCTTTGGGCATAGTTCCAAATTGTTCTCCAAAATTGGATCATTTCACAACTCCACCAACAATGCATTAGTGTTCCAATTTTCCCACATCTTCTCCAACATTTATCATTTTCCTGTTTTGTCATGTTGGCCAATCTGATAGGTGTGATGTGGTACCTCAGAGTTGTTTTGATTTGCATTTCTCTAATCAATAATGATTTAGAGCATTTTTTCATATGACTATAGATGGCTTTAATTTCTTCATCTGAGAACTGTCTGTTCATATCCTTTGACCATTTATCAATTGGGGAATGGCTTGTGTTCTTATAAATTTGTCTTAATTCTCTATATTTTTAGAAATGAGGCCTTTATCAGAGAGACTGGTTGTAAAAATTCTTTCCCAATTTTCTACCTTCCTTCTAATCTTAGTTGCATTGGCTTTGTTTGTGCAAAAACTTTTCAATTTAATGTAATCAAAATTATCCATTTTGC